TCAATACTACACCAAAGGTTCCGAACAATGCATCACAAATCATCAAGTAATTAGTTTGAGTATCCGTTTCTGTTGAAACAAATAAATTTCAAAGTCTTATATTTCATCTCATGATTGCATGAAAATATTTACAGTTGGACAAAGCAAAAAGGTAAATAGTTCACCAGGGCCACATTTCCACGTTATGCCAGAGAATGTGAGATGAACTTCCTACTCTTGATGGAATGAAAAGAAATTCATTAACGGCTCAAGCAGATCCATCAGGTATGGTAACTTTTATTAAGATAAGACTATATTGTGATATTCATCGCAGTTATTAGTTACTCTAATATTGTTAAACATTTCTAATGATCTGATATGAAAAAAATTACTGTAGGACACTACTATGAAGTAGGTATCTATTGAATTGAAGGAGTTATATTTTTAGTGGAGATTAATTTTTGGGTATAGGTATCTATTATGTTGAAATTCGCATGTGTCCGAGAAGAGTACATTTTTTCCTAACTGATTTCACTGATTTCACATGAGTAGTAACAAAGTACAAACATATTTCTCTAATCATCATGAACATAAAAAGTTTTTCAAGGAAACAACATGTTCCTAAGTACCGCTTACGTACCAAACTACACGTTTTCCTTTTCAATAATAGTGATATCTTCTTCTTCGCGAAATGAATAACATCTGATTGTGACAACTAAAACCTGTCTTCTCAAGGATGAAAAACAATGTTGAATAATAATATTTGGAACGCGAAATTACCTGAAGTTAATTCCCATACCAATGATCTAGCTTCGTTTAAAATTCAAGGAAATCCCCGTTGAACGTTTATTCTATGCTCATTCTGCAGTGAGATAAAATAATGTTAGGCTTTTTTGATAATCTAATATTTATATAATGATGATGATATTTATCATTAAATGTTGCTTCACTTTTTGTAAGAACCAAAAGTCACTTGCACTCTTTCGTAAATTAAATCTATCAATCTGAAAGTGAAACTAGCATTTTTCCGTGTGAGCAAGTTATATGCAACAATCATTTTATTTTTCATTATATTTTTTTTTGAGTTTCCTACTCAGCACTGACAAGGATCTGAGATATATCAAACCTTATACAGAGTACTTCAAAGCAAACTTTGATTTTTGTCAACTTCAGTTAAAGATTTTTTCAGTTTTCTCATTCTGAATGAAAGTACTTATCCATTGATACCAATATATTATATATTATTCCTAGCCATCCTTTTATTACTTACGTAACATTTTCAAAATGTTTTCCACTTCGTTCTGTACATTTTCTAGATCTCTTCAAAAAGTTTTTCCTCACGCGTCTCAGATGTAAAGGCATAATTCGTCGAAACCCCTCACCAAATATCAATTATATGTCTTCATGTGTCGTAGAAACAACAGTTTTGTCGGACGATGCAAAATGAAATTACAAAAAATCAAAAATTCCTGAGAAGCATCATGTTCATCCATGTACCTGGATGGATTTGTCAATATGCACAACTGCCATTATTATAGTATAAAGAAACACAAACATGTTAACGATCATCAACATAAATGGAGTCTTAATGTATGGAGCGATCTCCATGTTATGTAATTATGTTGATGGAAAATATTTTTCCAACCAAAAATTGAATGTTCCTTTGATTTCTCAGAGGAGAATTTCCTAGGTTGATCGAACACCTACCTAATCACATTGAAGATGTGTCTCTAGTTAGATTAGGCACCAGCACATTTTTGGAGAACGTAGAAGAGGAGTCGGATGTAATGTTTCCTGATAAGTGGATAGGATGAGAAAGACGTATTCCTCAGCCGCCCAGGTCACCAGACCTAACATCATTAGATTTTTATTTATGAGGGACAGTAAAATCAGAGATTCACCGTTCTGCCGATATTACATAGGAGGATATGAAATTAACGAATATTTTTTCTTCTGAACCGCGTGAGAACAAACTTTTAAAAGACATTCAGAAAATTTACAGAACAAGGGAGACATTTTGAAAATGTATCCTGATTTATTTTTTGAAAACATTTTGAAAAACCCAAATAATGAAAACACTGGAAATGAAATATTTCATGTTGGTATTCCAGTACAAGTATTTGCAAAAATCGCATAAACTGAAGTTGACGAAAATGGAGGTAACATTTAAAGTACCCTATATGGATATTAATATTTCCCAGATTATAACATGTTATTTCGTTGTTTTCTGAGCCACTTCATCAGACAACTCTCAGATCTTTGATAAAACAGCTTAATTGCAGTTATTTCATTCAGAGCCGGCAATATTGACGCTTTCATGAACAAACTGATTGATGAATATTACTGGAGTTTTTTTCCCCAACACCAAATCGTTATTTTTACACCTCGACACGTGTTTCGATCACCAAGTGATCATCTTCAAGAGAAAGATAAAAACTGTTTTTATCTTCAGTTCAGTTCAGTTCAGTTTATATTCAGTAATATTCATTACTACACCAAAGGTTTCAAACAGTACATCATAAAAACTGATTGATCTATTAAAAATATTTGATAAAAATAATGTTACGGGTCACATTACGTGGTGATTTCAATCATTTTTAAGTATAATAATGTAACTATGGTAATATCGAATATATTTGAATCTTAGGGCTCTTGAAAAATATTTCAGATTCTACTAGAATTCATGGAAATTCAAAAACAGTCATTGATGATATTTTCACCAACTCCAGTGTCTAAAATGCTCATACGGCTCATCTGATAACAATTCAAATTAGTTGCTCAATCATTCTTTACATTCCTGACAGTTACAGAAAAGGAAATTTATTAAACAATGAAGTGTCTCAAACTATCACGCCACAAATATCTTCGCACACAATGTAACAGCATAAAAATAAAATATTCATTTTCAAAAACTACACCTCACGATTTGATCTCCACAAACTTTATTTGAAAAATATATCACAACATGTTTCGCTAGCACAGTAGCTTTAAATTCAAATTACTTGACACTTGACACTTTTGAAATTACTATGGATCTTCATCAAGTAACGGACGAATCAATCAGAAAAAAAAGAAATTCAGGTTGCTGATGATGATGATGGGGTATTTTTTGACAAATAAAAACTGACAAGATTATTTCCCTTTCATAAAGGAGGCGTCAAAATAGATCCCAACAATTATTGGGAAATTGGCCATGGTTGACCAAGAAGTATATGTATTTCAGAAGCAGGGATTTTTTTCAGAGCAATCAACTTTGCACTGAATGCCGTTTGGTTTTAGAAATGGTACGTATACTCTGATGCAGTGATGAGATTTTTAGATTTTGTAACTGAGGGATTGAGACACTTACAAACTCTTTAGCTGTTTTTGCAGATCTCAGCAAAGCATTCGATATTGTCAGCCACTATATTCTTATAAAAAATCACTATCAATATATTGTAATAATCGAACCAGCAAGACTTTTCCAATAAACAATGGAATTTCCCAAGGCTTTGTGTTGAGGCCACTAGTTTTTAATATACATAAGTTATCTACTTTGCGGATTTTTCAACACTGATTGTGAGAATTAATGATAGATCATCAGTAATTTACGAGTTGAAAGGTATAATACATCAATCCACAGAGTGGTTCACCGCTAATAAACTGATGCTCAATGAAGTGAAACCAAAACACTCATTCTTGGAAAGGAAAACACTGTTCAAAAACACATTCGACTTTAATGACACAACATTGAAATAAGTTTGCGCAGTTAACTAGCAGTTTGTTCAAATCGATATTTGCAATCAGAAGCCAGAAAACTATGAACTTCGAAACTACTCTCTCTGGAATGGAATGTGTCATAGTATCATGACATATGATTTCATGATTCGGAAACATTCGCTTGAAAAATTTGAACTTCAAAATGGCCAAACTCTTGGAGCAATTTCAAATACATTGTGAAGTGGAAACGTCCATTTCCACATAGAGTGGTGATTATGTCACCAAAAAAAATAAGGACCAACGTTATTTTCATCATAACTCACTTAGTTTTGATGTCAGAGACTTCTTTGAAAAACAGAAATTGAGTTTTTTCAACCGTTCAAAAAAGGTATATGGGTATCTCTTCTCCTGACGAATGAGAACCAACATTCAAGAAGCTTTTACTCCATTTGTATTGAGTATACAGACATCATAAACTTCATAAGCTTCATTACAAAAAAATCATAACATTATGAAGACAACAATAGTTATTTATTATACAAGTGAAAAAAGTATTAGATTTTAGGTCGAGGTTGTGTTGTGTTTTCAAGGATCTTTTTTTCAATTCCTCAATTCTTTGTAGTTTTTAAAATATTTGCAAAAATCTGTATATCTTTATTATATCCTAATTTTTCATCATTTCCACTTGAAAACTAGACTATCTGGGTCCTAAATAAGTAGCAAATAAGTAGATATGATTTCCTGAATAGGAAGATTATCGTGATATCGAAAAGCTTATGCAATGCTTAATTATGACAAGTGGATCGAAAAATGAATGAATGACGAATAATTTGCTTGTAATAATTTAGCTATCACCAAATCATATTATTCAATTTCAAGCATAAGTATAAATTGTTGTTTCTTGTTTTGAGTAGCAAAAAAATCAACGTGACCCTGAATATCAATAACATCGCTGATTTGTGGACTTTGAATAAACGGCATAGGAATAATTATGTAGTAATTATGCTCTAATTGATTCGTAATAGACTTGCAAAAATATGTTGAGATTTTTGAAAAACTTTAAGGTTTGACATAATCAAAGAGCATTGATTCAAATCATTTCATAATAGAGAAATCCAAATAAGATTTTAATAGTTAAAAGAGAACATAATCAATGAATAATATCTACTTTTATCATTATACTTATTTTTTGTGATTTTGAAAAATTTTTGAAACATATATTTCTCATAAAAAATATTCATCCAATTCTAATTTCAAGAGTATTCGTAGCAATTTTCATTAAATACTTCAACCAACATCTGAAAAGTATTAAGAATACATACGTAATACTTTGGATTGGGTCAGGTGCAGTAAAGCACAGCACACTATAACGAAACACTTCATGGCGAACGAGTTGGGTTTCAATAAGAACCTTCAATTTTTCAATCGTTAATATAGCAAGATTTCTCCATATGCATAACCCGCCTTACCTCTACTTATTTCCACCTCTCTTTGTTTTCAGTCAGGGATAGTCACAGGATGATGATGATGACACCAATTCACTGTTGTCTGACTGAAAATTGTTGATATGGATTTTGATGATTTCTCATTTGTGATGAATTTTATTCTCATATAAATGAATAAAAGTTTTTTATAACCAAACAGTTGAAATATTCCGTTACTTCAATAACTCCGTATGAATTTGTCATGTTGTTCAATTTACAAATGGGTCTGAGCCTAGTAATGATAAAGAATGGCTAAAGTCGTCATTATAAACAATACATGATAACCGAAATAACAAGGAAGAAAATACAAGCTAAGACATGACAGTCAAGAGTGTATCCAAAAAAATGCAATGATTAGTCAATGTTTGTTAATTTCATAACTGACCTTTCTATTATAGCAACTGAAGATGTTTCTTTTATTAAATTTGATTCATTACCATTATCGGGTTCTTGATATTCGAACGAATGTGTAGGAATTTGATAGTTACTATAGAATGATTCTTCCACACTTTCAATTCCTGTCGAAAATTAAAATGACATTAATGTCATCAAAGTAATTTATATTGACAAACTCAAGTAAAATATAAAACATGTTATTTAAATTGAAAGGGTGTATATTTTTAGGAAAGACTGGTTTCCGACAAAGAAAGGTTTTTGGCTCTCTCCTTCTACATCTTTTCAATGGAGTCATGACCATCTCAGATAAAGTTGTTTTTTTAATACCTGTGATTTCAGAACAGTAAATCGTAACAAACTATACATCAATGAAATCACGAAAAGAATCACTATTTTTCTGTGAAAAAAACAATATGGCGCCCTTGATAGAATAAAAAGTTGAATATGATTGCCAGAAGACGAAACGTCAGATAGTAAATCTGAACATGAAAACGTGTAGCTGAAGAAAGGTATCAGTGAAAATGTGCTTTTGGTTTTGAGCTATGTAGTTTAGGAGATCTTAATAGTGGGGGTCGAACTTGAATTACCCTGTACAAATTTATCCGGACCAGATTATTGCTCTTTCAGAACTCGAATTCTTAATTTTTTTCATTCCTGAACATTCTAGAAGATTGGATTTCAAAATTTTTTCTTCTAAATGTAACACGTCGTATTCATGATTGAACTCATGTGCTTCTGCTAAAAGATGGTTTGCAAATGTGGAATTGGACTTTCTATTCACAAAACTTCTTTTGTGCTCTTTGATTCTTGGAAAATGTTCTCCCTGTTTGGACAATATACAGTTTTGGGCAAGAACCACAAGTCAGCTTATATAGGTACCCCTGATCTATCCGACAACGAAGTTTTGTCTTTATTGCCTCCTTTTCCTTAAATGACTCGGGCACTTCATTCGGCATGTCAAACCTACAACAGATAAATATTGATGAATCATGCAAGCCACATTTTACTGGCTGTCGATGAACATTGTAAGAAAAACCATAACCATATTCTGCCCCTACATCAGCTATTAGATGTATCAGTTTGTGGGAGACTCAAAGCAGCATACAGAAGAGAATGTGACTTTTTCATGAAGAATCGACTCGCAGAAAGAATATAGCTTTACGATATAGCTTCCTTGGTTGAGAAAGCTTTCTCAAGTATTGCATCCACGAGCATGGGCCAAGTGGAATTTGAAGCAACTAGCATATTCCTCATGGATTCCAATGTCTCTTCAGGTGAAGACTTTATGGCAGCTGAAATCCTCTAATCAGATTCTAGAACTGCTGGAGTTGTTGACAGTACCAACAGTTATAGCTGATTTTAGATAGTCCAATGACAAACACATCCAGATATGTTCATCTCATTACTGAGCAAACAATGGCATTTTGACCTCACTGCCAATGAAAGACACCTTGGTCCAAAAAAAAAATAGCTAAAGTAGTTGAACGCAAGAGTAAATGCATTGGAAAGACAAGCCAGCCACAAAAGCAACTTCTGGAAGAATCGAATGATAGTTCTGTATCAGACGTGAATACGGACGACTCATGCCATGGCGATGAAAAGGTTGATGAAGATAGCATTTTGACCTCACTGCCAATGAAAGACACTTTGGTCAAGAAAAGAAAAAAAAGCTAAAGCAGTCGAAAGCAAGAGTAAATGCATTGGAAAGACAAGCCAGCCACAAAAGCAACTTCTGAAAGAATCGAATGATACTTCTGTATCAGACGTGAATACGGACGACTTATGCCATGACGACGGAAAGTTGATGAGGAAGAAGTTGATATGTGGTAAATTGGGAAGAAATAATAAAATGTGGTATCGATGCAATTCTTGTGAGCGTTGGGTTCATGCCGACTACACTGGGTGTGATTCGTCTCGTAATTACTCTTATTTATCCGATTTGTGTTGACTACTATTGGCCACACACTGACCATAATTTCCAATTGATGTTGACAATTGTATTCAAATCTGTTTTTTTCAATAGATATAGTTCGTAAAATAGTAAACTAAATTGATTAGGGATGACAATTGTTAGTTAGTTAAAAAGAGTTAACATAAGAATTGATAGTTGATTTACAGATTTGATTTTAATTCCTGCTTGGGTGATCCCCATTACCTCCATCTCCCCTACTGGCGACAAGTTCCAAAACAGTAGTTGATTCAGTTTACATCCTGACCAATAACCTTTTAATCAAAGTATTATTGAAATTGGCTCTACATTAAGGAAATATGGAGATGTGTCTTTCAGAAGATGATTAGCTCGAGTTCTCATCTAATAATGATGAATTCAATTTCCGTATTGCCGAAAAGTGACAGTCGACGAGATATTGAAAATTCAAAATACTGTCCTTATGGACAGTGATAGTAATCATATGTGAAGTGACAAAATGGGCTGGCAACAATCCAAACGCATCATTTATAGTGGCGTTGTTTTCCAATTCCAATTTCCAATAAGAGCTTATGGACAGGAAGAAGAAAGGCCATTGAATGTCCTTCCAAATCTGACAAACCCAATTTCTTTAAACGAAAGTACTAAAAATGATACCTGTTTACGTATCCTTTGCCCTACCTTGATATACTGTTCTCTTCAAAAAGGGTTTTTTACGTCCACACTGTATTAGAATACTACAAATTGTGGTGAGGCTAAAAGTACCCCACATCACAACGATTATTATTGCAAATAATAAAACAGAATTACACAACATATTGAAAAATGGACGGAAGAGCTAAAGAAATAATGTTTGGAAATAAACATTAGAAATTCGAAACCATGACAGTAGCAAATGAGGAGGAAATTATAATCTCATTACAGAGTGAGGCTATGCAAGAAAATGAGTTTGGGTTTAGTGAAAAGTGAATAGCAAGCAGTATTTACTGAAAATACAATTAATTATTGAAAAAATGAAAAACTTTTTACAGAACACAAAACGCTGAATTACTTGGAATTATGAAAGATAAAACTGTAATTTCTGGCATACAGTAAATACAAAACAAGCAGTGTTTCCAAATACTAGAACTACAACACTCTTCTCGACGAGCGTTTAACCAAGATGGCGTCTTCAGGGCATATTTTTTATTCATATCAATGAGTTTGGTAGAAAACTAACGCTAATTTCAACAGAGCGATTCATATCAAGATAACCAATGCGCTGTTTGGACTGGAACCTTTTTCATCATCCACAGTTCTCCCTTATCTCTTTATTTCGAAACTTTCAAAAGCATTAAAAAATCTAGTGTTATTTACCGATTTATATGAATCGCTCTGTTGAAATTAACGGGGACTTTCTACTCGAAATCATTGATGTTTGTTTCAAAGTGATGAAAAGTGTATCCTGTCAGATATAAATACTTTACTTCATCTCCTAAAGACGCTAAACTTGGTTGGTGGAACGTGCGACAGGTATGGTGTTTGGCAACAATGCTTACTTTGGATTCAATATTATGTTCATTCAGGTTGTTATCATTATTTGATGGTGCAGATACAAATAAAACTAGAGCCACATAGTTATAATAATAAGGGAAATAGAACAATTTACGTCTAAGATAAGAAGGGCTCCCGTGAAAGATACAAAGACATTCAAATTGGGATAAAGTTGTCCATTTCGGAGCTCCTTTGAATGACGTTTGAAAATTTAGGATATTCCGATTAGTTCCGGAAATACTTCCAGGGAACCACAACTCGCCAATTTCCATTTTATTTTATCGTGAAGTTATTTAGGAAGATATTATAAAACGAAAAGCACTTTCTCATTACCACTTTTCCAGCTATACATGCCGGTTTCATATGTTTCGTCTTTTAGATTTCATGTGGACTGGAACAATAAATCACTAGATATAAGTTAGCCTTTCTGGCGGCCACTTTACTGATGTATCTCCATAATGTTCAATAAGTAAATTTTAAAACGTCATTCAAGTAAGCAACTTTTTTCTAATTCAACCGCATTGTATTTCTAATGGTTTCGAATATTTTCATATTGGCCCCTCTTATCTTGGGCACATTAATATTCGGGAGGAGAGATTTAAGCAATTCAGGTAGATCAGTTTGTAATGAATAAATTACTGTCTCTTGCCCTGTTTGTATGTCTGTCTGAACACGATACAATTGGACCACATTGAAACGGATACCCAGCCAGGATAACCATAGTTCGAGTATAAAATGCTCTTGAATAATCTTGAATGTTCTGAACTGGATAATTCCATCACGTACATATTTAAAAGCACGCATTTTGGAGGGAGCTAAAAAAAGCGTCAATATACCTGCGCACACTATATTATAAACGGAAGTTTACAAATGAACTGTCATTTCATGATTACCTCAATCACTATCGAAGAATTCATAGATTGCGAAAGAAAGTTACTACCATAACAAGGTCAAAGGTCCATTGACGAACCTGTGTTTGGCAAAGATGTAATAGGAAATAAAGATTGCACTAAATTCCTAGGTGTGCTCATAGACAAAAACCTTAAATTTGATGACCGTATTGAACAAGTCATATCAAAAGCAAGATCTCT